CTCTCTCTCTCTCTCTCTCTCTACATTGTATGTGGTTTCTTTTACTTCATTCTCTCTCTCTCTGGATTTCATGTGGGTATACTTCCTCAACTCTCTCTCTCTCTCTCTCTCTCTAGATTCCATTTGGGTGTCCTCTCTTTCTCTCTGATTTTTGTCCTCTTTCTTTCTCATTGGTTGTGATTACTTGATGTTTCATATGTCTGGGAAAATTTGTATGTATACTAGCTAGGACTATTTGACCAAGCTAGTGTGTGTTAATCATGTGCTGGTTGTTATTGATGAGAAGACCATGCTAGTGTTAATCATTTGCTGCTTGTTATTGATGAGAAGAAAATGGTGTATTGTTACTAGTTCTAGCGGATGTGGTTTGTATAGAGCTGAGGCTCTAAACAATCAAAGTAAAGCGCACCTTCAAATAGTATCGAGAAATGTGGTTTCAAAAATATTTGTGATAGCTTTAAAAAATATTTTCGTTTTTAATTATAAAAATTTAAAGCTTATGATGCAGCCATATGCCCCAGCCGATGGTTCATGGCTGGGCTAAGAAGGGTCGTAGGACCGAAAAGGGAAAGAAAGAGGCAATCATGCAATAAGGGGGATTATTAGAGTTATTTTAATTTTTTATTCTTTTGATAAGAATAGGGAGTGCACGGGGATAATCAGGGTTTTATCTTGTATCGGTTAGGTTTGTTAGTTTAAAATGTAAATAGGATCAGGTTAAATCTAGGGGAGTTTTATCTTTTAAAACAATAACGACTTTGAGGAAAACGTGGGAGGTTTTGCTTTGATTAAAAAGTAGCTATTTATTTAGCACGTGAAGTTAAGAGAGAAAAAATAAGGAGGAGAGAAAATAGGGGGGAGAGAAATACAAGGAGAGTGTGTGTAGGGAGGGTTTTTTTTTCTTTTTGCATGTCTTTTTTATTCTATTTAAAGGGAGGTTTCCAAGTGAATGAATTGAATAGAATTTGGTAAATTGTTTTGGGGAGTGGATTCCCTTACAGACCTTTGAGAGAGGGTATTTTCACTCAACCTTCTTTTTTTTAACATTAATTTTCTGGTTTTATTTTCTGCCTCCAACATTTGGTATTAGAGCGGGTTTCGATGGCTTCAGAAGAGATACCTCTCAATGGATTAAAGTTATTGACTGGAGTAGTTCAAGTGCTAACAGAGAGAATAGACCAATTCATGCACGTAGTTGAGAAAGTAGATGAGCTTATGCAAAAGGTTGCTCAGCTTAAGGATGGAAGGAATCCGGAGAACAGCGTTGGAACGCAAGGCAACAGAGATGAGAGAGGTATGCATCTTGTTCCTAACTAACCTTGAGTGACCCCGGCTAATAACGAATTCAATGAACTAATTCTTCGGTTGTTGGAAAGAGAGAGAACCTGAAATAAAAATTGATATTCCAGAGTTCCATGGTCGATTGCACGCAGATTATTTTCGTGATTGGCTAAGTAAAGTAGAGAAAGTGTTTGAGTATAGAGATATTGCATATCACAAAAAAGTAAAATTAGTAGCCACAAAATTTTCTGGCCATGCATTGGTTTCGTGGGATGATTTGCATCAGGATCGTCTTCGACAGGGCAAGGAAAAAATTAATTCATGGAAAAGATGAAGATGAAGATGCGTCGAAAATTTTTACCAGTAAATTATGCCCGAAATTTGTATCAAAAGTGTCAAAACCTCAAGCAAGGTGAAAAATCGGCAAGTGACTATACTGAAGAGTTCTATATTTTGACATCTATGCAAATCTACAAGAGTATGAAGATAAAAAAATAAGTCGCTACTTGAATGGGCTAAATGAAGGCATTCAGAATGAATTGGCCTTTAAAGAGGTCTATAAGATGTTTGATGCCTATACTTTGACCCTCAAAGCAAAAGAAATAGTCAAGCTTGGCCTTGGGAGAAACAGGTCAGTGACAAGAGGCTCTACTTCAACACAGGGGCAACAAGCTTTAACTTTTAAAAGACCACCTATGGGGCGTGGAAACCAAGCCTCTCAGAATTTTCCAACTAGGCCAAACCTTAATATGGGGAGAGGTCGTGTTGGGAGAGGGCTGGGAGCACCCAAAACACCTCGTAATGATACACAAATTGTGTGTTTCAAGTGCCAACAGCCTGGGCATAAGGCATTCAATCGCCCTTCACATCAACCCCCTGTCAAAGTTAATTTGGCCGAAAAAAATTATGAAGAAGAAGACAATGAAGGATACACCTATGAAGATCAAGGTAATATTGGGACGAGCCAGTCTTATGAAGGGACTGAGCCTTTCAAAGGTGAGATTGAGGAGTTGTACGAATATGAAAGCGGTGAAGCCTTAGTTGTCCAGCGAACCATGCTATCAACCCCAAGGTCTAGTGAGGATAAGAAGTGGCTGCTAGACAAAATTTTTCGAACAACTTGCACATCAAGAGGCATGCTATGTACAATACTAATTTATAGTGGGAGCAGTGAAAATATTGTATCTAAAGAGGTGATGGATAAACTTCAATTGAAGGGGCATAAACACTTACGCCCATATCACATCCAGTGGTTCAAGAAAGGAGGTAAGGTACCAGTTATTACTCGATGTTTAATCTCTTTTTTCATTGGTGCTAATTATAAAGATGAAGTGTGGTGTGATGTAGTACATATGGATGCATGTCTCATATTACTTGGTAGACTATGGCTTTATAATCATGATATGGTGCATAAAACTAGACCAAACACTTATTTTTTTGTCAAGGATGGTATTAATATCACGCTCCACCCTATGAAGCAACTTCCTACACCCAAATCCACTAAAGAAGAGGGTTCAAAGTTGCTTAATGTGCAAAAATTAAAAGCGGGCAGCAAGGATATAGATGTGATTTACGTGTTGCTCGCAAAGAAAATTATGTATCGACTACAATTCCTAGGTCTCTTGAACCTCTACTTGAGAAGTATAAAGATTTGATGCCTGAAGAATTACTTGATGGTCTTCCTCCAATGAGATATCCAGCATCACATTGACTTGGTGCCTGGTTCTAGCCTACCAAATTTGGCACATTATCGAATGAGCCCCATGGACCATGAAGAGTTACACAAACAAGTTGTTGATTTGCTTAAAAAGGGATTGATTCGAAAAAGCATGTCACCATGTGTTGTCTCAGCATTACCTACTCCAAAAAAGGATGGGTCATGGAGGATGTGTGTGGACAGTCGATCAATCAACAAAATTACAATCAAGTACTAATTTCGATACCCAGGCTCGATGATATGTTATATATGCTTATTGGAGCCAAGGTTTTCTCAAAGATTGATTTAAGGAGTGGGTACCATCAAATTCGGATTCGTCTTGGGGATGAATGGAAGGCCACATTCAAAACTCAAGATGGACTATATGAGTGGCTTGTGATGCCATTCAGGCTTTCTAATACACTAAGCACATTCATGCGCCTAATGACTGAGGTACTTCGTTCTTTTATTAGTAAATTTGTTGTGGTTTATTTTGATGATATCTTGGTTTTTAGTGCTAACCTACAAGATCATCTTAACCACTTGGAACAAGTTTTTGATGTGCTAAGTGTTGGGTTTGGTGGTAGCTAAATCATCATACCTATATTTTCTTCAAAAAAGATTAAGATATTATGGGAAATAGAAAATTTAATTTCTTGAGAAGCAAAAAAGTGATATCTTTATAAGAGAGTGAAGTAGGACATAATACCCATCCTTTGAGAATCACCCCTTTGGGGGTTATGCGAATGGATCTCCAATATGGAGATGGGTCTCCAAGAGAGAGAGACATGGCCTCTGAGAGAGGGGTGGTATTCCCATAAGTTTTGGGTTGGTTAACTTTTACTTTTAGAGAGAGAAAATCTCTATGTTGCTCTTGAGGTTAGAGGATGTTGATCGACGGTGTTGCTCGGTCGGGAGAGCAGGTTTAGAAGGGAAGAGCGGTGATGGTCTTTTACCGATGTTTAAAGATAGGTATTATCTCTTGTAACTCAAAACTGTAATCTTCATTGTGATCGTAGATTTCTAGTTGCCGAGGCCTTGAATATAGTCCTATGGGGTGAACCACGTAAATCTTGGATTGTTGTGGTGTGCCTTTTTTTGTGTTTGTTATATTTCTCGAACTCGATTTATAGTTGTATTCATCTACTTCGCATTTGGCCAATCATGTACACGATTTTGGGTGGGATCCCGATGTTTAGGATTCCCGGTTCCATAAGCTAAGGGGTTCTCGTGATCCCTACACTAAGGAAGGAATCACTTATTGTGAATTTGAAAAAGTTCTCATTCATGATGGACAATATCGTCTTTGTAGGATATGTTGTTTCATCTGAGGGAATTAAGGTAGATCAAGAAAAGGTGAAGGTCATAGCTGATTGGTCGGTTCTAAAGTCATCACTCATTGAGGTGCATTCTTTTCATGGCCTAGCGACCTTTTATCGTCGATTTATCAGAAATTTTAGCACTCTAATAGCACCACTAAGTGATTCTATGAGGGTTGGAAAGTTTTCATAGAGTCTTGCTGCTGAAAAGAACTTCACTCTAATTAAACAAAAAGATGCACGCACTAGTACTTGCCTTACCAGATCTTTCTAAGGTGTTTATGGTTGAAACCGATGCATCAAATGTTGGCGTAGGGGTAGTTCTAAGTCAGTGGCCTTCTTTAGTGAGAAGTTAAATGAAGCACGTAAGAAGTATTTGGTCTATGACATCGAGTTTTATGTAGTGGTGCAAGCCTTGTGCTACTAGAGGTACTATCTGATTCCTAATGAGTTTGTTTTATAGTCAGATCATGAAGCACTCCGATATTTGAGTTCTCAGATGAAGTTGAATGCACGACATGCTAAGTGGATGGCCCTCCTTCAAGAATACACCTTCTTATTAAAGCATAAGGCTGGAACCCAAAATAAGGCAGCTGATGCTTTAAGTAGAAGGATAAAACTATGGCTATAGTTGGAGAAAAATATTTTTGGCCACGTATGCAGAGAGTTGATTGATTTGTGATGCGATGTCGAACTTGCTAAGTTTCTAAAGGTCACACACAAAATATAGGTCGTTATATCCCTCTTCTTATTCCAGATGCCCCATGGTTTGATATCTCTATGGACTTTGTACTTGGACTTCCACGTACCACGCGAGGTATGGACTCTATTTTTGTTGATGTTGATCGATTTTCCAAAATGGCACATTTTATTTCTTGTAGGAGAACTATGGATGCTACGCATATTGCGAATCTCTTTTTCAAAGATATTGTAAGGCTACATGGTGTTCTTAAGTCTATTACATCTCATTGGGATACAAAATTCTTAAGTCATTTTTGGCACACTTTGTGGAAGCGCATGGGAACTCAACTTCAATTTTCTAGCGCCTATCATCCTCAAACAGATGGGCAGACCGAAATAGTGAATAGGAACCTTGGTAACCTCTTGAGTGTTGGTGATAACATATTTTAGTGGGACCTCGCTTTGCCCCAGGCTGAGTTTGCTTACAATACTTCAGTGAATTGGTCTACATGAAAATCACCATTTGAGATTGTTAATGGGCGGACTCCTAATCATGTGCTGGACCTAGTGCCATTACCCATGCCAGGCAAGATAAGTGATGATGTCAATGCTTTTGCTGAGCATATTCAAGATTTGCAAGCTCAAATCAAGAAGAAAATTGAGGAAAGCAATGCAAAGTATCGAAAAGCCTCAAATGAGCATAGAAGAGAGAAAATTTTCAAGAAGGGTGACTTAGTAATGGTGTATTTGTGAAAGGAGAGGTTTCCATAGGGAACCTATAATAAACACAAGTCCAAGAAAGTGGGCCCTTGCCGCATTTTGAAGCAATATGGGAACAATGCATGTAAGGTGGAATTACCAAAGGCATTGGATATCTCCATGATATTTAATGTTACTGACTTATTTGAGTTTCATGGAGACCCTCGGGAAATCGAAAAAGAAGTAGTTGATATGATGAAGCAATTATCGAGAAAGAAAGCTGAGGATATTGAGCAAGTTTTGATGACTGAAAGCTTTCAAACTCGAAAGGGTTCCTATCATTAATTTCTAGTCGAATGGAAGGGCAGGCCATACTCTGATAGCACGTGGATTTCTGAGCAAGAATTCAAAATGGTGGATCCAAACTTATATCGCATCTATACCAACTCGTTGGAGTCGAGTTCCTTTTAACTGGGGGGAAATGAGCCGATGGTTCGTGGCTAGGCCAAGAAGGGTCGTAGGACCCAAGCGGGAAAGAAAGGGGCAATGATGTTATAAGGGGGGATTATTAAGGTTATTTTAATTTTTTATTCTTTTGATAAGAATAGGGAGTGCGCAAGGATAATTAGGAGTGCATGAGTTTATCTTGTATCGGTTGGGTTAGTTAGTTTGGAATGTAAATAGGATAAGGTTAAATCTAGAGGAGTTTTATCTTTTAAGACAAGAACAGCTTTGAGTAAAACGTGGGAGACTTTGTTTGATAAAAACGTGGCTATCTATTTAGCTCGTGAAGTTAAGAGAGAAAAAATAAGGATGAGAGAGAATAGGTAGGAGAGAAAAAAAAGGGGAGTGCATATAGGGAGGTTTTTTTTCTTTTGCTTATCTTTTTTAGTCTATTTAAAAGGAGGTTTCCCTTCATTGTAAGTGAATGAATTGAATAGAATTTGGTAGATTGTTTTGGGGGGTGGATTCCCTTACAGACCCTTGAGAGAGGGTATTTTCTCTCAACTTTCTTTGTTTTAGCGTTAATTTTCTGGTTTTATTTTCTCCCTGCATCAGCTTAGATCTATGAAAACTTGAAAATCTTGAAAATTGACTGTCCATAAATGCGTTACAAGATGCACTATTTCCAAAACTTGAAATCCATTTTTTTTTCTCATGTAAATGTATCTTGATGTCGCGATGATCAATTTGAGGATATTTGGGCATCAAAACAACCTCTTCTGAAATTTTTGAAGTGGCCTCTAATTTTATTATTTAGAGCTTCGGCTCTATATAAACTTTTTCCCTAGTTCTATTTGGTTTACCCTTTTACCTCTTGCATTTTTTTTTCTTTTTTTTCCCAAGCATGTGATTTCGTTGAATTGATTGAATGAGGTGAGCCCATTTGATCATTTTGGATAGATGTTAGCATGTTAGTAAAAATGGTATGCTTTTTAATGTCTTCTCTCCTTTTTCTACGTTTTTTTTTGCCTCTTTATGTTTACTTATTTCTTAGTATCAGAGTGAATTCTTAGTATCGAATTGAAGTATTGTAGGCTGATCAAAGAGTACCCATTTCAACATTTGTATAGGATGTGCTTGTGCTAAGTATATATTTCCTTTGGTGAATCTTGTTTACGTGTTCTACTTTATGTTTCTTTTTGGGCCTTAAAAGTAGTAGGACTTTACCTTGTGGTTTTGTTTCCATAATGACTCGAACAAAGCTTGTCAAATTTATTTGATTCTGAAATAAGTAGTCATTTCAGTAGAATACAATGTAAGGATCCACTTGCATTTTTTTTTTTAATTGTGTAGAATATATTGTTTGGAACTTTGGATCCACTCATATCCTGTTGCTTCTAAGTCACTGTTGAGACCAACTGTAATCAGGGACTTCAAATCATGGTTAGCAAATGGATGAGCTAGTGAATAAACTCGGGGCTTGCCTAAATTGATTAGCTTTCTTTATTACCAAGTTGATTAAGACTAGATTTGCTTATTTCGATTTCAATCCAAAAAATAAAGTTTGTTTTTCTGTTTACTAAGATCTCAGGCCTAAAAGGAGGTTCACAGACCTTCATGTACTCCATAACTCTTACCCCACCATTCAAATTAACTAATGGACCTTTACAACCTTCATCCTCCTGTTTTCTGATTCTTTAAAGACATTATTCTGGTAAACTTGAAAATTTTACTCAATAACTATGTTTTGATCAGGTGCATCAAGTCGTATTTTGAAGAACCAAAATTTACAGAGGTTATAGGAAATCACTTGAAATTAGAAGGCAACCATGGGGCAGTCCTCAAAGAAATAGTATAACTGCTCGACTGAAGCAAAGCAAGAAATCATGTTATTGTGCTTATGTATAAATACTGTATTGACCCTTTTGGGAATTTGGTTCAAGATTAAGTTTCACTTAATCTCTCTAGGAAACATTTGGAGATAATAAATATTGACATACCCTTTGGTCTATCCATCTTTTATATCAGTGAATTAGTACTTCATAATTTACTCCTTTTGTATCCTAGGAATGCCATGGAATAGCCAACACTAGCTTGGGTCAAGTTCCCAAACTCTCTTGTAGCAAACTCACATGAATCCTAAATTTCCCCTGCTTCCTCCTTCTATCTTTGGTTTTCACCCTTGTGTACTTTAAAACAATCCTCTGGAATGAGCAAAACTAAATGTCCCCTAAGACTGAAATTTGGGCTGAATGGTATTAGGTATTCTAGAATGCACTTAAATGGAAAAACTCCATTCTGATAAAATATAGGTTTCCTCTCATAATATCCATGTAAAATTGTGTCAATTTTCTAAATGATTTTATTTTCTAGTGAGCAAATATAGCAATATTCTGTTGAATGAAGACTGTCAACATATATATATATATATATTTAGGAAAAGTCTTCCCAACGCCTATAAACGAAAATGAACAGTGATTTCTCCTACCCTCATCACCGTCCAAAGTTCATCGCCCGATCACCCTTGTCTAGTAGCATTTCATTTTTCATTTTTTTTCTACAAATCGGAATGATCTGAAATTTGGAGCATGTGTACATCTTAGTGAGATGCACCTAATAAAAATATTAAAAAAATAATTAGGGAAAACAAATTAACCAAAATACCCCTAAAACTTTTCGAAGGTATTTTGGTCAATTATTTTCATGTAAAAATGTTTTTGATATTTTTCGTAGATTCGCCTATTTTTTATGAACACACACTCCAATTTCAGGTCATTTCGATTTGTAGAAAAAAAAAAGAAAAATGAAACACTACCGGACAATCGTGACCGTGCAATGAACTTTGGACAGTGATGAGGGTAGGCGAAATCACTGTTTATTTTCACCTATAGCCATTTTGTAGTACCTTCTATATATATATATATATAAGGTTATGTTAGGGTGCTCACACTATAGAGTAATTTATCATTTTATTCCTAGTGAGCAACGTTCTAAATGATTTTATTTATTTATTTTTTTTCAATTTTTCACTAGGAAAAATATTCCATATTTGGTATGCATACGGTACTCAAACTCAATATTTTTTGTCCGTGTTTATCCAAGGACAGTGGGTAATGAGTTGTTTCCCACTTTTAGAGCTGCCGTGTTCTTATTTTTAATTTTTTGTATAGCTGTATGTTTACTCAACTCCACAGTGCATGCAAGATGGATGTTGATTATGTGTACCCAAACTCCATTTTTTGGATGTACCTCAGCAGTATACTCCTATGACATACAATATTCGATCCCTTATCAAAATATCCTATGTTAATGTGTCGCCATAACATTGGAGGATCTGTTTTCTTGATTTTCTGAACTTGATCATGCACTGATGCTTCTAGTGATGAAGGTCACTTTTTTTATAGCATATAGTCAGTGTCCTGTATGGATCTCAAAGGGCTTTACGTTCTTCACATATTTCATGCTCCCCTATGTTCAGCATTTGATCCAATAAAATCTTTTTGCCTCTTCCTTTGAACAATTTTCCTTATCTGTGTAAATGGAAGTTATTAGTCTGGTTTTCCATGTGAAACTATACTAACTTGGAATCCTTTGGCTTTTCATGTGTCAGTTGAAAGCAACCAAACTCAATATATTTGCCATCGTAGTTTTGGTTTAGTGAGGTAGGTATTCAAGCAAAGTCTCTCGCTGAAATCCATCGTGTGAATCCGTATAATGAAGTGTGTGTGTGTGCGCCTACATGTGTATGTGCTCGCATGTGTGCATTTGTTTTTTGGGAGGGAGGATACCAAGTAAGAGGAGGCAGTAGAACTACATCTCTATTTCTCATGCTGCTAACGTAGTGGATTCAGTTCATGTTTTAGGTAGTTTTCCCGAATTTAGAATTTCTCTTTTCCAAGCTCTTAATAATTCCAGTTTTGTAGTAGCGATGGTTCCATAGGAGCTAATTCTGCCACTTGCAGGTTCGTGAGCTGGAAAACGACCCTAATTTCAATGCTGGAAGAGGGTCAGTTTTAACCTCTCAAGGCACAGTTGAGATGGAGGCTTGCATTATGGATGGGACTACAATGAAATGTGGAGCTGTTTCTGGCCTTTCTACCGTTGTTAATGCCATTTCTCTTGCTCGGCTTGTGATGGAGAAGACCCCACATATATATCTTGCATTTGATGGCGCAGAGGCATTTGCAAGGGAACAAGTTAGTGTATAATAGATAATAAACGTATTCCTGTTTCAATTTTTGGTGCGCTATGATAAACTGCAGCATTTTCTTACCTGGTTGTCTTGGTTTCATGGTTTTTGTTCCAAATCAAGCATGTGAAGTTTTTATCTATTGAACTTATATGCTGGTGGTAAGTAGATAAAGCTTATCTTGGCTGCCTTGATCAAAAGGGAGATAACTGGCACACTTGAGATAATCTTCGGAAACATTATTTTCTTGTAGTTGATTGGAGAGCTAGTAAGAGAACACCATGGCACAAGTATTCTCCAACCACTTTGCTTGTTTGTGAAAATGCTTCAGGTACAAGTTTCACACATCAAGCAGAATTAGGAGTTGTTGTCTTCCTCCTTTCTCTTGGATTGTGCTTTCTTCACTTGGCTGATTTGATTTCACCAGGGCTCTCTTGACATCCAAAATGGGGTTTCTCCCTGTTTTCCCACACTCCCAAAATTTGTACATTAATATACTGAATATTTATGAAATTTATAATTATCTCAGATCGTTAGATTCCTCTACTCTGGCCTTTTGATTCAATCACTCTTAATCTATCGGGTCTAAATAGGCAGAAAATGGTAAAGATCCCCTTTTTCCCCATACCCAGTGTTTGGACTAGGCCTCGGCCAAGGAGAGGTCCAAAGGCCAACTCGGGCCCTGTTTAAAATGATTAAAAAAGACACATTGTTTTTTAAATCTTAATTGAATGATCTAGAAAGACACTTTAAGATCATTTATATGCTTTTTATGATGATTTGGGAAGTTTTCTCTCAACATGGTGCAAATTTTTTCCTTTCCCAAAATATTTCAAGGTATGTAGATCAATCTTTTCAATGATCCATCTTCTATGTAATTTTTTGGACTTCTATGAACTTCTAATGAACTCTGTTACTAATTTTACTTTTCCTATTTTTAATGGTTTTTAACCTTTTTTTTTTTTACAATTTTTCTGTTCTTCTACACTACATGGCTGAGTTGGAATCCTACACTAATCGGATTCGGCTGAGTTACTCGGATTGGATCGGGAGTCTGTGACCCGAGCCGAGTTCAAAAACATCGCCCAGACCAATTTTGTCAAATAGGTTAGAGGTATTTCCATTCCTTGGGCACAATATAGGTCCTCAAATATATAATTGGGTTATGGTGTGCTATTACTCTGTTTTGCATGATGAGGATGTTTTCCCTCTTTCATTGCTTTTTTGCTCTAAAAATGATAATAATACAAGTTTGCTGGCTATTTCCCAATTTCTGTTGGACATGCCAATACGCCAAATCTAAGTGCAATTGAACTCTGATACCTTGCTTTTAACTTCAAGTTCTACTTTTGCAAACACCCATGGATTAACCCACATTTTAGTTGTATCCTTCATTTGGCCACTTCTTTAAAATAGACATTTTTGCTTTGTAATCCTCCAGGCTAATATTCTCCTTCATCAAAACAAGAGTTAAAGTAATACTAAAATAAAACATACTTCATTTTTGATATTGCAAGTTCCTTATAATGTTGAATATGTATACACTAGTTTGTCATGTGCATATATTGCATACAAATTGCATTAGTAGATGTGTATTACATACATGCATATTACAAATTTATACACAACATTGCTGTTATGCACACATATTACAGATTTATTAGTTACTCATAGAACTGAGTCAACCATACACAAAAAATTAGTGTGTCAAAAAGCGAGCATAACTAAAGAATTGCTAGAACAAAGTAAACTCCATGTTAAAAAGGTCTGAACTCATGAATAATTATATCACTGTATATGGAAAGATTTTGCGACCCACGATCATATGATTAACTGAAGTCAATGAATTCATCTGGTTATCCTTACCCCATGTCCAGTGTCTCCTTCTGGTCATAGTTAAAAAGTGATTCTAGATCTCCATTATAATAGGTGTAAGAGCCCTCTCCTTGATCTCTCGAGCCTAGGAAAAGCCAATCATGACATCCCTCTCAAAAGCACCCTCAGAAGGTTCCATGTGGCTTGGTGCATAATAAACACTCATCAAGGCACAAACAGGATTAGTTATGATACGCTGTCATATTTCTTGCAGAGATGCATAGATTGCCCAAAGAAAACTTTCATGGTTTCTGCAAGTGTGGCTAGGAAGATCTCCATAAAAAAAGCACGTGATTATAACAATTGGAGTCGTATCACGTGCAAGGAAATATTAAGCCCTCAAGAAATTCGTACCGAGAACATATAAATACATACCCACGCATACACATCACTCACAAATATATACATACATGCGTATCTGCACTTGCATGCATATGCAAGTGTCCATGCACGTAGGCATGCTTACATATTTGATGTTCATACATATGAGTGTGCTATTTCATTCTGATTGTTTCCTTACTTTTGTTTTGTTTCTGTAAATAAAGTTTGTAACAGGGTTCATTGAATGATTGGATATTGACCTCTTTTTCCAGGGTGTTGAAACTGTAGATCCAAATCACTTTGTTACTCCAGAAAACATAGAAAGACTGGAACAAGCTAAAGAAGCAAACAGGGTACAGGTGTGCTCTTTAAACTTGCCCAAATTTGACGTTTGAAAATACAAGAGTCATCGCTACACTTTCCTTGAGCCATGATCCCTTTGTCATCCCTCCCTGCCTCCCCTTTCCTACCCTTCGTGCTCTGTCTCCACTATTTTCACTTTCTCATAGAAAAAAACCTGTAAGAGAGAACAAACCAAAGCTGGAAATGAGAAAATGCCATTCCATGTAAGACTGTCTGTATGTAGTTTGGATTTAACTTCCTCAAATATGCTTCGACAGATAGATTTTACACAACCAGCTAAAGGAGACATTAGAAAGGAGAATGCTGAAGCAAATGGAGGAGACAGCCAAATCGGTACTGTGGGTTGTGTGGCTTTAGACAGCCATGGTAATTTAGCTTCGGCTACTTCCACTGGTGGTTTGGTAAACAAGATGGTGGGTAGAATAGGAGATACCCCCGTTATAGGTGCAGGGACTTATGCCAATAGTTACTGTGCTGTTTCGGCCACTGGTAAAGGGGAAGCCATTATTAAAGCTACTGTTGCTCGTGAGGTCGCAGCTTTAATGGAGTATAAAGGTCTCTCTCTCAAGGAAGCAGCTGCTTATGTTATAGAAGAGAAAGTTGCTAAAGGAAATGCAGGTTTGGTGGCTGTTTCGGCCAATGGAGAGGTCACGATGCCTTTCAATACAACAGGTATGTTTAGAGCTTGTGCAACTGAAGACGGGCATTCTGAAATTTCAATATGGAATTAGCGAGAGAAGAAACAAGGACAATTTGTGATATGCGATTCATGGTGAATTGTTCGTGCAATGTGTGGTCATGGCATGAGCATCTTAGGTTGTCTGTTAGATGGTTTTATAGTTTGTTAAGGAATGAAATCATTCAAAAGACGACGTTGCAATGTCGAATTCATAGTGGCTTCTTTGTGCATTGAATATAGTGATAGAAGAATCAAAATGTATGGCTTTGGAGGGATGCATGGGTATGGTATTAAGATCCTAGTTTGTTTATTGGATGATTAAAACTAAAGGGTGTCTGGTTTGTATAAGGATTGAGTCTCTTAGAACACAATTATGGGTCTTTTAGAAATGGGTCTCTTAGTGTGATTCAGGTTGAAAGCATTTGGTTCTGTTTGGGTAATAAAACTCTCTTGTGCTTGTGCTTCTGTTTTTATACTAACAGATTAGACTCCGGAGATGACCTCTAAGTTCTTTTCCAGTTCCATGGTCTTTATAATAACTACTGAACAATATCAATATGTGTTTGTTAAGGGATTTGATCATATGTATTGCTCATTGTGTTTTCTAGATGTGTACATGCGCATTTGTGACATTTTGTTTTCCTCGGTAATTTGATGGTGGATTTTCTTGTATGGACATCTCAATTTCCTAATTTCAGTTAGGGGTGGCAATTGGGTCAGGTATGGGTCCGGCATAGACCCTATTAGGTGGGGTCAGATTGACCCCGCCTGACCTGACCCAATATAAAATATATATGCTAAAATAAATTTTTTTATTTTTTTTATTCTTAAACCTAGGTCCAAATGAATTGGACCCTGGTTGGGTTTGGGTCTGGGATCCGACCCATTGCCACCCGTGCACAAAAGTCCAATATGGAACTGGTATCTTGCTATCGTAGTTTAATTTTATTGGATGTAAAGATACTAAAATAAAGTTACGTGGGTGGGGAGTATTCGAAATTTTGAAATTGGCATGCAATGATAGTTAAGGGGTTGTAAAGAAGAGAGCATTTATCTTTTGTACATAGAGGTTGCAATCATTTTTTTTCCTTAAATTTTAAAAGAGAAAATTTCATATAGAACTTTAATTTCTTATATTATTTCATGGTAGATCCTCTTTCTATTTTTTTTTTAAGTGGCATAAAGAAATCTCTGAAGATTTTACCGTACCCCGTCATTCTTTATTTCTCTCTTTTATTGACTTTGATCATAAAAATTAGTCCCAACAAATCTTTTTATACAATTTCATTTCGAAATTTTTGTTAACTTTCTTTTTCCGTTTTTTACCCATTAAAAAAGATCTTTTGGGGCTAATTTTTATGATTAAAAGTCTAATAAAAGAGGGCGATAAAATATGAGGGGGTATGGTGAAATGTTTAGAGGTTTTTTTATGCCGCTTGAAAGAAAAACGAACGAATGGTCTATCATGAAATAATACGAGGAATTAGCGTTCTATACGAAATTTTCGCATTTTAAAATGGGTGGTTGTAAAATTGTTATTGAAAGGACATAAAGTTCTAAAAAAAATAAAATTTTTCGGACTTCATGACTTAACCCAGCCATCCAATTTGACATCT